TGTTTTTAAAGGAAATTCTAAATCAGGAATGCCGGGCCAGGATCCCCTAGGAATTCCAAGACCAAATAAAAGTGTTTCAGTGTAATCAAACAAAATGAGCAGGTTTTTTTCCGATATCCATTTCGATCAACGCACTGCTCCTGTTAGCACTTTATTCTTAAAATACTGGTACTACAGGAATTGGGCACATAAATTTGATCATAGCCAAATTTTGCAAAAAATTTTGGAATTCCTGGACAAGATTTTGCGAGTTCTTAAAGAAAATTTTGGAAATTTTAGCTACAGAGCTCAGTGAAACTCAAAAACGCATTCAGTATTCCATGGTTCTGCAAAAACTCGCGACTTTTTTCTGAGCCTACGAAAAACGAGAAGCAGATTTCGCAAAAATTTTCAGTAATCCAAACAGTAAACTCGGGAAATGGTGACCTTTAATCTGCGGAAGTAAGAAGCTCAGTTTTGATGTCTGAAATCATTTTTGGATTGTAACACTTTATCAAAATTAAAGAAGCCAAAACGACGCACTTGGGACGCATGGGATTTGAGGTCGCCTGCGCGAGTACGCTAAAGGTGCGGAAAAAACGTGAAAAATCGTCTAACTTTTGTGGTGATGAAAACATCCTCCCGCTTTAGCTTTCCCTGCTTGATGTATTCCTCATCCAGGACTTGCCCGAGATCCTGCTCATTGAAGTAGCATGCGGCCGTGTCAATCAGTCGATAGCCATTGTTCAACGCATAGCGTACCGAATTAGCTGCTTCTCCAGGTTTAGACTAAAATTTGTAACAAATTCTGCACACTAACACAAAAAATGCGAAATTAATAACATTGATGTCAATGTGGCTTATTATTATTACCGCCATTATTGTTTTTATTGCTATTAATAAAGATATTATTACTGTTGTTATCATTATTGTTATTATTATTGCTACTATCTCATTATTGTTATTACTATTATTGTTACTACTATTATTATTACTGCCATTACTAATGTTGTTGTTATTATTAGTATTATTTATTATACAGCTGGTAATTTAATTCGAAAATGGAACGGATGTTGGGATTACCAGCAGGCTGACCGTTAGGTACTGCAGCATTGGTCAAATCAGTTTGGAAGTTACCAGCTGTACAGATGGAAAGCCGCGTTATGAACTAACAGTCAGTCCTAGTACTACTGATTTTACTGTTATTGCTATTGCCATTATTATTATTGTTATTGTTATCATTACTGGTAACATTAATTGCTGTTTCAATGCGATTATTTAATTGCCGCTTCAATGCGACAATATTTTTTATTATGCATTTATCAATATTAACAGATGTAAAGCTTAGTTTTAGTAACACCTAAGATTTCATCCTGATAAGATGGTCAGTTTGGTAATACCGATTTGTGGAAACGAAATTTTTGGAACTAACCAGCCACATGCCAAGACCAATGATTGGCATTTTTGCGCCAGTGGCAAGACGGATTGACGGAACGGTCATTTCTGCTGTATTCCCTGGAACAACGATTTTTCAATACTATCTGATGGACTTGAACAGAAAATAGCTCTTTGAACGAACGCAAGAAGAGTTGCTGCTGTGTGTGGTGGACAACAGGTAGG